CCCCAAAACCCCAAAACCCCGCCAGAAAAGTCTCAATCTATTTTAATATTTATCAAATTAAATTTAAATCTAAAATAATAATTTTGAATCATTAATTAGTTATTTTTACGTCAAAATCAATTCTCAAAAGAACAAACCAACAATAGTTCTTTGATTAATTAATCTGGGTTTTTAACTCCATTATTTTTAATGAATGTTTTTCCCTTTTTAGCAATAAGTTGCCACTCTTATTATGAAGAACTGTATGAATGAGCTAATATTAATAGGATAGCAATTGTCACCCAAATAAGATCAACATTAACATTTTGACCATTGTTTTAATTCTCAATGATTTTTAGAACTTCGACTTTAAACTTGTTTGTATCAAATTTGTTCATCATTTGGAAAACAATTTTTTCTTCTCTCCATCTGCCATCTATTGTTTAGTCCTTATAGATTTGTTAAAGTATGCTATCTCTATCCTTATTAATTGTTTATTCTTTATTCTTTGTTTAAAATTCATCTTTAATTTCTTCATTTGAGGACCCTTTTACTTTATTTCTCTTAAACTAATGATTTTCTAGGTGCTAATCATATGATAAATCTTCATCCTCTTCATAATCCTGACACATAAAATCTAAATTAATTGCTCCTCCTCCTGTATTTCGTCTTGGTCTACCTCTTCCTCTACCACCACTAATAGCACCTGCAAAGCCTCCTCTACCACCACTAATAGCACCAGCAAAGCCTCCTCTACCACCTCTAATAGCACCTCCTAAGCCTCCTCTTTAATTCGTTTATGAATAAGATAACATATGAGATCCACTGTTTCTATTTCTATCTCTATCTCTTGAATTAGATCTTGATATATCTCTTTAGTTTATTGATCTCTTTTTACATTTAGTTTTAGACAAACTGTCAAAACTGTTTCCTTAATATGCAAAGGCAGATGTTTGAGCATAAGCTTAAGGTGCTATAACCATGTTTAATTATAAATACTGAGAATAATCATAGCTTCTAAGAATTCTCAATCTATCTTAGTTTTCTCTATTTACGAGGTCAATCAATTATTTCTCCATTTCACTAGACTACATATCTTTATCTTGATTTTTATGGACTGCTATCATTGCTGTCTATTGACTTAGGACCTGATAATCTATTGAAACTTAGACAATATCTTTGAATAAATTATTTCTGTCAAGTTATTTCAAGTGAAAATGAGCAGCCAGTTTTTCTATTTAAGACCCATCCTCTTCTAAGTTCTTAAAATCCTTTTTAAAAAGTACAATTTTAGTCTATTAGCTATTTTATGGATCGTCGAAAGATAATTCAAAAGCTAAATCTTGATCAGATTCATCAAAGCTCTTCTAATCTAATACGTAAAACTAGGCAAATAACTAGCTTCTGGCTATTGTGGTATCATTAGCAGGTAAGTTAGAGCTATTAATTAAAATTGGATATTAGATTATTAGATCAGATTTGATATTCTTAAACTTAGGAGATATTGATGTAGCTAAAGTCGCCACTACTTTTTGTCTTAATTATGGAATTTCTTGATTCTTTAAAATGGTGCATTAACCATCACCAAGCATTGCTATTTGTGAAACCAATCTAGTATCACAGTCATTTCCAATACCAAAAGTATGAATCTAAGTCAGTTTCCCTAACTTTTATTTAATTTATTCAAAGCACTTCTGTGAGTCTTAAATTTAGCCATCTGTAAGTAGAAATATTTACTTTGAGTAACCATCTGGAATTTATATTTCAAAAGCAGCTTTTAATGGATCAAAGATATTAGTTCCACCCTTATTAGCACTAAATTATTCAACCTTAGCGCAAGCAAAGTCAAGGTTCTCTTGGTTATATTCATAAGGAGTGCAGTCAATTTTTTTATCCTCATCATTTTCCTATTTAATAGTATCATACCTCGTTCCAAATGAAATAATTTAAAAGAGGGTGCTATTTGTTGGCAAAGACTTCAAAAAGAGTACTAATGCTTGATTGGTTATTTTCATCTTTTCACCACTCATTGATCCGCTTCTATCAACAAGGAACACAACTAAAAACTTCTTAAGAAGTCTTGGGTCCACATCCATATCTTGTGGCAATTCATCTCGGTATATTTAGATATCAGATTCTTAGGGTTCTGGCAAAAAACTAGGCAAAAGTTAAAACATTAGTGCAACTCTGTCCTAATTAACCTAGTATAATGCTTTTGGTTTATCTGAATCATTAGTTCTGTAGTATATATCAATATCTTGTTCAGCTATTTCTACACCTTTATCTAGCTCTATAAGAACATGACTGCTATCTTCATTTTATTAATCATGGCTAATTTATAAAGTTTTCTGACAAAAAAGTTCCGTTATCTTTGAGGATGTAGCAATTTCTACTATCAACTTGCTGGTATCCCTATTTTCAGTGAGCAGAAATATCATAGACTTAGGAATATTCAACTGATAGGCACCTTCGAAAGCTTTAGTCATCTCAAGTGTTTCAATCTCTACCTGGATCATTTGATTAGGTAAAACATTACCTAGATTAAGTTAAAGCACATCTTCCTAATCATCCTTATATAGCATTAGTCCTGCTTAATTACCACTTGCTATAGCATCTTCGTATTTCTCTCTTGCCTTTTCTTTATCTTAAATTTGAGCTTCAATTTCATTATCCCCAATTTTTATTTTCAATTTCGAGATTACTAGATCGTAATTTGTTGGCGTCTCCAATGTTATCTCCTGGCTTTTATCAGATTCATTTAGATAAGTCAAGTGAAGTTCACTTTTAACAAGAGAATTAACTACTTTGATCTTATAGAGTACTTCTAACAGTGGGAGTTAAAAGGGGTCTTCAATTTTCTAAATTATCTGATTGTTTGGATCTGGAAATCTTCTTGGATACATCCTAAATCTTCTGCATAAACATCTTCTATGCTGATAATGGTTTTATTGCTAATTGCCAATCATCTATAAATTTATGTTTCAATTATATTTTACAAAATTACAATCTAAGAATTATTATATAATGATTCGTGGGGTTTTGGGGTTTTGGGG